GGCTGGAGTGCGGTGGCTCGATCTCGACTCACTTCAGCCTCTGTCTCCCGAGTAGCTGGGATTATAGGCACGTGCCACCATGCCCGGCTAATTTTTGTATTTTTAGTAGAGTATTTTTAGTAGAGATGGGGTTTCACCGTGTTGGCCAGGCTGGTCTCCAACTCCTGACCTCAGTTGATCCGCCCGCCTTGGCCTCCCAAAGTGTGGTGAGGGACAGGCGTGAGCCACCAGCGCCAGGCCTTCAGATACTTTTTTTTTTTTTTAAAAAAACAAGCTCTTGAGGGCTTTATTAGTCATTTAGCCCACATTGATTGAATCCCTGCTCCCTGCAGACTTTGACAAGGTTTCAGAGGCACTGCTACCCATGGCCTCTAGGAGCTTACAGTGTAGAGAGGTTCTTTTGACTATTTTTTGATGATAGGCAAAACTTACTTTGTCCCTATATGTGGCTTCTATTGAGTAAAAAACAAAAACCAAACCGAAAAATAAAAGCTGCTGTTGATGAGAAAGCGCAGCGATGCAGGTGATCGTCAGTTTTCACTTAGCTTTTAGATACATTATGTACATTTTTGGTGCACGAGATTGATCGTTCTAATGTTATGTTGGCTTTCTGACCATAAATCGGTTAACCTTTAAGAAGGTTGCCTTGAAGAAGGTAGTCTAAAAATGAGCTGGATGTTGTGAGAAAACCATCTAAACTTAAGATCTTTCATGGTATCCATCAGGTATGTTATTCACTGAAGAACAGGAGTTGACTTCATTTAATCCTTCTTGCATTCATCCACCTATATCCACTCGTTGAGCACTGTTTTGTTCCAGGCACTATGCATCTGTTAGTGTAATGGAGCTGCTTGCTTTTTAGTGCCTAGCTTGCCTTGTATCTTTTTGAAACAATTGTTTAAAATCCATATGAAGGGATTTACTCACTTTTAGTGTTTTCTTGTCCTCCCTCTTCTGATTGGGTAATTCTTCACCATCTCCCTCTCTGGCTCTACTGTTCTCTTTATTGATAATTACTTCTGCCTGAGGCAGCTATTTGAAGAGATCATCAGTTTTCCTAAATTCCTTTATTATGGCTCAGTTGGGAATGTCCTGGAAAAATGAACCTGCGATTTCCCATCACACCTTAAAGAACTGGTAATAGTCTGGGTCATTAGAACACAGCTGAGCATAAAACACTGCTGAAGGGTCAGAGAAAACCCAAAAATGTAAGCACAGAAAGAAAATAGTTTCTTAATCTTGAGAACACTGTGGACTCTTTATCTGCTGTTAAATTGAGCATGACTTTCAAGCCATGCCTCCTAATTAATTTAATTCAGTGTTCTGGCATCAATAAGTAATTGAATTATAAAAGACTTCAATGTAACAACTTAGGGCATTTTGTTGCTGAGAGGTGGAACAGTTCAGTGATTGAAATAGGGATGTTTGATGTTCACAACTGGGAATTAAGGATAAGGTAAGGACTTTTTTTTTTTTTTTTTTTCATGATTTTTGTAACATCTTTTCACAAAGTGAGGACTTCTTTAACAGACCACAGTAAACATGCAGCAGGCTGCTGGCTGCACACTCACCGTCACTGTCAGTCTCAGTTGGAGGATACGAGCTTGATACTAGAACACTCTAAACACCAGTTCTTTTCTGGCTTCCCCCAGATAAGGTTCTCCCTTTTGCCACTAGAATCAGGAGAATGTTGCAGAGGAATTGCATTTCTGGTAACAAGATAACCGAGGAAGACTCAGACTGCTAACCCAACAATCAACTATTGAGGCTGTAGGATTGAAGAAGCTGAATAATTGGATTCCATTTAGCTGGACTAATTTTATGCTGAGAATTTCAGGGGATTTTATCTGCCTTTTGATCTCTTTATAATGGTTATACTAAGCTCATAGTAAGAGGCATAACCATCTCTTAGGGGTACAGATTATGTAAGTCCCTACACTCCCATCTATAAGGGAGGGCTGCGGGTAGACTACATTAGGGATATTCTGTTTTTCTGTAGTCAGTCCAGGTGCCAGATTTGATGGGGTGACCTGCCGTGTACATGATACCAAAATGAGGGCACTACTATTGGTCTTATTTTACGGAGAAGATAACTGATACTCAGACTGGTTAAATAACCATCAGGCTCCAGGTGTATGGGCCTTTGCACTGCATCATGATCCTTCATAAAGATGGGGCTGTTGCATCAGGAAAATAGTTCTTGGAAAGCAAAGAAATACTTGTCCAGAGAGCAATAATTAGCACCCAGAGAAAAGATGTGTGAGCCAACTTATGTTCAGAACAGCTCCAAAGGGGAGTGTTTGTGTATGTGTGTGTATCTGTGAGAGGTGTGAGATTGGTATTGTTTCACCATTTTCTTCATGGGGAAATTGAGCAACACAGAGATTATGTGGGCATGGTCAATGTTCACTATAGGTGGGAGTTGTGCTTCTGGAAATCATCTTGCAGATAAAAAAGTTGTATGATGGGAGAACCCAGTATCATGTAGTATGTCTGTAGTAGCTGCAGAGTGAATTTTTGTATTTTATTGACACTAATGTTCAGATTAGATTGGGCCCTCTTATAAAATGAATCATGACTGTCACACATTGACCCTTCTAAATCTGCTAAATCTGCTCAGCTTGGTTTTCTACTGATTGTTAGTATTGAGCCACTTTTAGCTTCGTTTATTTTTAGTTTTTTTTTTTTTTTTTTCTTCTGTAGCTACATTGAATCATATGTAAAAATCCAACTGAAGCATAAAACAAGCACTGGTGTATGCTTGCCTCGGAGCTGCCTGGGAGCAAGAGGAAAGACAGTCTTATCCTATAAAGTATGAGAGGGTGCTGGAGACTTCTTAGTGGTTTTCTTCAAAGTTGTATGTTGAGAATATATAACAATTGTGAAGAAAAAAATACAAGTGTAAGGAAAGTCAGATGTATATAGTTTGTAAAGAATTTCTTAATGGGCTCTTAGTGAATCCCGAAGAACCCATTCTCTTAAATTTTATCTTTTTCCATGTCTTATGTTATTTGACTACATTTATAGAGTTTCTATTGTGTTTTGTAGTTTATGAGGTAGAATGAAACCTAAAAAAATAGCATTAGTGTGGATTTGGAGTTCTAAAAGTTTAGTTTCTCTAGTTTGAATTTCTGTTTGGAATGTGGTCAGGAGCATACTTTCGGATGTTTGTAAGGAAGTATAAGGTTTGAAACCTGTTTCAGGTTGTGGTTTAGTTATGAAAATGACACCCTTACTATAAGGCAGAGTGATTTGGTTAGAAACAGCAACTAGTCAATTTGTATCAACTTCAGCCAGAGGGCAAGACCCACATTTTTTGGTAGGGTCTTTCCTTGGACTTAGGGAAATTTTAGTTTTCTGGGACAAGCCTTACACTTTCTAGGGCATAGATGTTTGTTGAGAATGATCAGTTTGTGAATTAAGCTTATAAGCTAAAGTTTTGGGGGGCCAAGGAAGGGCAGAGATTAGTATTAGATTTAGAGCATAATTATTTTTCTGCTAATTACTCTTTTTATAAGCTGTTAATAACCTTAAAGCAGATAGGGGCAACTTGGTTTTCTTCTTTATTATGGCAAAAAAGAAACAAAAAATCAGACTTACAGTGTGTGTGTTATATGAAAAATTCTGAGGCAAAAAGGAGCCAGTTTAATTGCTTGTACAATCTCAGGCAGATGAGAAATGGAAGAGTACATACATACTTCTAGAGTTTTGGGGATAAAATGGGCTTTTAAAGTATATAATTTTATTGCCACATTAAATACTAGCAGAATGGAGTATGTTATTGGGCTTTCCAGTTTCTTGTAGAGATGATAGTATCATTTTGTATAATCTCATTTTGCAGCTACAGTGTGGGTGGGTGGGCAGGGGGATTTACCAAGGCCAATTAGGAAGAATGCTAATCCTTTCCAATTCTTAAAAGAATTAAGGCAGTTTTCTTCCGAACATGTAACTAGTAGTTTCTCGCAGTTTTCTAAGGTGAAAGTCAGGATTTTCCCCCATTGCTATTCTGTTTGCTGACTAGGACCAGAAAATAACAGAGAAAAATGAAAATTGATAAGGACTGACATGGCTGGCTCAATAGCCTTTCAAGACTCTTCCCCTGGGCTACCAGCATGTTTCTTTCATGTGGTTCCCTGCACTAGAGAGGACCTGGTGGGTGTTTACATGGCAGAGGTTGGAGAACACTATGGATCTCAGGGTTTTGATGATAAAGGAATTCTTCAACGTTTACAGCATAGCCTCTCGCTTCAGTGTGGCTACGTTGCTGCCTTTGTAGTAAAATCTCTGCCTCCTCCTTATAAGGACACTTGTGATTACATTT